CCTTCTCGTACTCTTCGTCTTCGTTCGTTCGTTCGTTCTCCTACTCGTACGTACGTACGTCGTCGTACGTACCTCCTACTCTCTCTCTCTCTCTCTCTCTCTCTCTCTCTCTCTCTCTCTCTCTCTCTCTCTCTCTCACTGTTGGGGCAAGCCTGCCCCAATGTCTCTCTCACTCTTTCTCTCTCTCTGGAACTGCTGGGCCAGCCTCTCTCTCTCTAACTGAAAAAGTATTGCTTCAGGTGCCTAAATATTTTCTCTAAAACCCAATTATTCCTATAATATTGTTTGTTTTGCTTTTTTACGACTATAAAAAAACAATACATGTAAATTTTAAACATTTTTTATAAACTTTTTACAATTTTTATGAGATTTTTTTCCGAAATCGCATTTTTCAAGAAAAATCGGAGCACTGATCGGTCGATTTAGTCGGAATTGGTCCAACTAATCGGATCAGGTCAGGACTGACTAGTCGGCCCGATTATTTCTTTTGAACACTGCTTCAAACTTCACTCAAATGAAGACTGGCCAATATAACTCGAGAGAGATAGGACTAAGCCATTAAGTAAAACCCAGGAATTTTAACCAAGATTTGCATATTGCACTGGAGAGACAACTGACTTTTGTCCACAATTGTCCAAGGGGAGTTCAACAATATCATCCAAATATTTCTTGAGTGCTCAGTTTTTTTCAAGGAGGTCCATAAAGACCTAACGCATCTCCAATATAACAGCAATGCCAACATTATCTCCTATAAACAGATAAACTTTTGGATATTTAAAGAAAATAGGAACATCTTACAAGATTGTCATAGAATCTAAGGGATTTCAAAATTAAAGGGCCACTTGCACTTTTGTTCTTTACAAATGAATTGAGATATGAATGACAGTCACATTTACAAGTTATAATTCATTGTCTGACACAATGAGCACGTGAAACTCTTTTTCGTGTAAAGTAAACTCAGTGCCTTTCCCTTAAAGAAACCAACAAAGACATGTAAAGGAGCAGTAATATTTGGTCCCAAAGATAAGAAATATAGTATCCCATGCTGAGGAATAATTCAATTATTCGGAGATAACTCGTGAAAATATCCAATGGAAAGGAAGGTGAGAAATGATTATATTCTGACCAGCACATTAAAAATATAAAGCTAGGGATGATTATTTCTTTCTTATGAATATTTTTTGCCTTAATTATTATCTTTCTCATAATTTTTGCTAGATTTCATGCTAGGAGGCTACTAAAACACATAGAACATCATTTTTCATAACTTATAAGCTCTTTTTTAGAGCTTTCAATTCATCAGTGTTTCAAAAAGCGCTAAGCGGGTCCTAGGCGGCCTGGGTCCAGGCCGCCCAGCGCCCAAAACCTGGGCAGCCAGGTCAAATCCAAAAAGGATGTCCATTTGAATAAAAAAAGGATATATAGTATAAAAAATAAAAATTAGGTATTTAGGGTACTTACTCTGAGTTTGATTGCTCAATCTTCCTGAGTTTGATTGCTCAATCTTCAAACTTCCACCTCAAAGATGCTTTAAAGGATTCAAAATCTTCTAAAAAACCCACCAATAGATTTATTTATAAAGCATCAAAAATTAAATCTAATATGAATGGGTGATGTTTTGATCAATTATTGTCAACTTTGATAAACCCTTTGATCCTAAAGAAATCACCAAAAACCCGTCGATCCTAAAGAAATCACTAAAAGCTAATTTTTGGAGGCTTTCTCTCTCTAAAATGGGCTCCAATAAGTTTTAGATTTCAAATGAACTTAAAACCATCCTTCGAACCTTTTATATTTAAAAAAAAAAAATCAATACAAGAAAAAAAATTCCACCTCAGGGCGGGGCACCCACCTAGGCAAGGCGCATGCCCTGGGCTGGGCGCCCGCCTAGGCGGGTTCCATACCGCCTAGGCAGCCGCCCAGGGACTGCCGCTAAGATTGGCCACCCAGGCTTGGCCGCCTAGGCCTGGGTGATGTGCCCCGGCCTTCTGGACCGCCTAAGCGGCCGCCTAGGTGCTGGGCGATTTGCTTTTTGAATCACTGCGATTCATTTATCAATTTGAAGGATAGAATTAAGATCAAATATAAGATTCTATACTATAGACCACTCACGTGAAGCACAAAACACCAGAAAAACAGCTATTTCAAAAAGTATTCACACTAGTCAACTTCATCATAATTTTACTCCTTAGATCAAAATCAAATTGCAAAATCAATGGACTGGGGCTGAGGTCGTGGTGGTAGCACCCCTCATACATAAGTCGCACATCATGCTCTCCAATCCCAACAGCTTTGAAAACGTAACCATTCATAAAACGGGTAGGGGCCCACATTCCTCACTGAATTACCCAAAAAAACAAAAAAAAAATCCTGAACACCAGCCCATAAAACTAATTACAAAAATAATAATGGAATAAACATTTGTATATACATAAATAAATAACCATCTGTGTGCCGCGCACATAAAACCTTCTCTAGGACATTCACACAATGACCTTTTTTAAACTTGTGGGGGCCATTAATGAAGTCATAAAAATATGTAACAACCCATAAAAGCACCGCTATCGAATCTATAGATTTTTATACATGATAGAAATCAACTGCTAAATATAATGGTTCAGCATTTAAAATAGAAAGCATTGCTCTTTAATCCAAACATTTAATCTCCATTAACACAGGCATATAAATAAGCACCCACAATAAACGCATATCGGTCATATATGGTATGAGAAATGCAATGAACAGCAATACTAGAGCAATCATAGAAGCAAAAAATACAAATAACCAGTACAATTTCACCAGACAAAAGCAAAGAGCTAATCTTCACTACCCAAAATCTTTCCAACCTCACATAAAAAAGAAAAAAGAGAACTCTGAGCAAAAAGGAACCATTGATTGCAATAACGCTCCATGATAAAGGGAGAAACAACTGCAACTGTCAATAGATTGAGAGAGAGGGGGGTAAGACAGAGAAAAATCCGTGAGGGAAAAGTAATGAGATCTTGTGAATTGTGACGACTTACGAGCTTGTAAATGGAGGAGAGGGGAGAAGAGGAAGCGGGGATGGAGCGATTTCTGATGGCTCTGAGCATGACAGTAGCTGCCATCGCAGTGGTCGTCTTTCTCTCTCTACCTCTGTGGTGTTGTGGTGTCAAGGGTTTTGGAATTCAGGGTTTAAGAAATAGCGTTCTTCTATTTGCCCTAGAAAAATATGTGTTCCGGCTTCTCTCGCTCGAACGTTGTCACCTGCCTTTTATAGGGGGTTTGGGTCGGCAAAATAAACTTTAAATGAGGAGTGGTGGCCGTGCGTGTAACTTTTGCTCTAGAACAGTATAGAAACGTGTATGAACCATGGGTTGTGGAGTATGAAACTCTTTTAGTCCCCCTTTATGCGGAACAACTTAATATTATCCCAGAAATAGTCCATGTGTCCATAAGTATTTGAAAAATCACTGATTTGGATATAATCATTCGATTTCAATTAGTGTTTGAAAAATCGCCAATTTTTGGATAGATAATCATCTTGAGTGATCTAGCTCACGTAACAAATCAGGAATAAGCCATTTTTTTTTTAGAAATGGCCAGTTTAAAGTAGTCCGTATTGGTTCTACGACAGAATTTGACCATGGCTTTTATAGAACTAGCCGGTTCTGTCAACAAATTTATACTAACCATATCCATCTCTTTCTTCTTTTTCTTTTTCTTTTTTTATTGAACCGGCTAATTGGGACCCATTTTATTTTAAAAAAGATTTTGATTTTTTATTTGATTGACTGGATCGCTATCTGCCAAACGACCCAAACCGGATCAAAAATCTTAAAGGGAAATCCAGGTCACTGATCCACTTTTTAAAACCTTGGTCTCAACTCGCCGGCAATTTATTGCTCCCGACTCTCATATCCTCTCCTTCTCTTTCCTGGAGTGGAACTGGGACCTTACCTAACATATGCTCTCTCACCCTTCACAATTTTGTTGAGGGAATTTATGTGCTATTTAACATTTTCAAGTTTGTTGGAGGAATTTATGTGCTATTTAACATTTTGACATTTTTAAATTTCCTTGTAATTTATGTGCCCATGATGATTTGATGTGTACTCTGGTAAGCTACTTGAAATTCACTAAAAAATGATGACATGTTAGAAATTAGATCAACAGAATCACAGAGATACTGAATAGTGTACCTCTTAGGTGTGATTTGATGAAGTGTTTATTACTTTCTTGTCATTTTCCTTGTTTATGGTTTAGTGGGAAAATTGTAAAAGGTCAAGGTTCAACCTTTCAAAAATTGTCCGTACATTAAACCAAGGTAACCTATCTTTCTCTTTGCAACCAAGAAGGTCACAATTGCCGATCCCGACCGGCCGAACTAGTTTTGGGAAAGTATCAGTCCCGGCCTAGTACCCCTTCTATATTTATTTATTTTTATTATACTTATTTAATTTTTCTTTTTTATGCTTGTTTAATTTTTTTAGGTCCCCTTCCCCACCCCATAAACTCTTTTTTTTTTCTTTTTTCTTTTTAATTTTGGATTGCTGGTTCAAATCGATATGGATTATCGATCTAACAATCTGACATGTATATAAAGTGGGACAATCTGCCCCCATCGATCTAGTTTTTAGAACACTGGTAACAGCCAACTTTTCTTTTATTTAATAGATGTCAATCAAAATAGTGTTGTCTTCTAGAAAGTTTATATAAACCACAAAATTATAGGAAGATAACTAATCCCATTTCCATTTTTCACTCTGTTATTTTTATATTTTTGGTAGTCCGAAACCAAAGAGGGTTATAATGCTAAATTGAGCCTGACAGTATATTGGTGGTACCCCCGACAAAACTTGATTGCACCTTGAGAAATTAAAAGGATGTTGAATACCTTAACCAGTGATTCAAAACTTTTGGATCAAGAATCACTGGTCCAAATGGATAATCATTATAGGATGAACTGGTTCCCAGAGTTTGCAAGTATCAAGAACTAGTCCGAACGAGAGCTGGATCGGTTCCCACAAGGCAGGGGTGGCAACCGGCCGGGTAGCCCAGTCCCGTGCGGTCAGCTTGGCCCTAGAAAACTAATGTCTGGGTCACAAAATGTGAATCGAGGGCCGGGATAGGGCCAGGCGGGGCATGAGCAAGGTTGGCTTAGCTTGGCCCGGCCCAACCTCTTTTATGCTGTTTTTTCCTTTTATTTTCTATTTTATTTTATTTGGGCTGGCCTACCGTAATAGGGCTAAGGATGGGCCAGGGTCAAGGCCTCTTTGGCCCAATCAAGGGTGAGCCAGCCTTGGCCATATGGGTAGTGGGGTTGGGCTAGGGCTGGGGCTGGCTCGGCCTGTTGCCAACTATATCTTAGGAAGTCTAGTCCTCTTGTCAGGAAAATGAGTGATTCGGACTAGTGCGATAAATCAAGTTCCCACATATTTTATTTTTTAATATTTTTTTTTTTTTTTTTTATTTCTATGGATCAATGCTCACACCCGAGGATCGGTCGGGTCAGCAATACGGATAGGCAATTTGCCGATCCAGTCTTTATTTCGAGGATGACCGATTTGCCCAGCCAAAGGTTTTAAAAGACGGCCGTGCAGACCTTATGTCTCTGGTCCAAGTTTTGCACAACTTACGTTGATCGTGTTTATTTAGCTTTGCATATTTTATTGTCCAAGAATCACAATTTTTGTCTACGTAAAATTTTCAGGGCAATTAATGGAATGTCACTATACTTAACAATTTTTTAAAGCTATACACACTCATTTAAAATTCTTGCTAAGGGAATTCTAATAACTTATAGCTCTGAAACTTTTAAAATTCTTGCCAAGTGAATTTTCAAAAACCTGTAACTCTGAATCCTTAAGTACCCCTTGAACCGTTATAAAATGCCAAGAATAGACCTCCAAGTTCTAACACATCTCATCGAGACCCCAAAAATGGGATCTGGACTTTGGTTAAATTCAGATAAAGTTGGAATTCTTAGCGATTCGCCGGCGGGTGCCAAAGCTAAAAATCTTAGCTGCACTCGAAGAGGCGCTACATTTGGAAAATTCTAAAAATTTCTAGAAAATTAAACCTATTGTTGGCCAAAGGTCTTGGATGGATTTTTTACCAATTTCGATAAGTCAATTTGTCGAACCCCATCATCAAACTTAAAGATAAATCAAGGGCTCCTTTTTCATAATGGCTCTTAGAAATCAGAGGTCTAAAGCCCTTAAAAATCCTTAAAACTTAGAGAGAAAATCCTTTATATTAAAAGTAAGAAGACCTCAATAGAGGACTCATTGTCATAATCGCATGAGATTTGCTGGAAGTATTGTCGAACCCTATAATGAGGTGTCTGACTCTATTTTCACAAAGGGTAAGGGCACAAATCCCCCTGAATTATCATTCGTAAAAAAAGAAAGAAAAAAAAAAAAGACAATTCCTTAGTTGATCTAACCTTCAATCAATTCTCTACAATACTATTCCTTTACAACTATACTTAATTTTTAAAGAAAATTCAAAATTTTCACCAAGACAATTGTTCAGGCTTAGGGGATGGTTCGGCCTCATCCCCTCAATAAAAGTTCGAAGTAAGAGGACCTTATCCAACAAAAGGAAAAAGTTTATATTAGGTTGCAACCTTACCTTTATGACTATGAATGCACCTCAAAAATCCATCGAAAAATATAGTTTTAATGTTGAAAAACCCCTTGATTGATCATCTAGACATCGAGATGTATGACGATGAAAAATAAACGACTTTAAATCTAAAAAATAGTACATTTTACAACATGCTATTTACACTGTCCATTTTCAAGATTTTCATATGTTTATAGGTCTACTTGATTTTAATCATTTTTAAATTTAAAATTTTATAATTAGATATAAAAATAGATTTTGAGATAATCCTAAGAACATTTTCAACAAAATTAT